TGAAATAGCGCAGATCACAAATAACGTACGTTATTTCAGGCATAGCGTACGTTTTGTGGCGTTTTTGCGTAGCGTTGCTTAGCCTGCGTTATTTGATTAATGGCTAGGATTTATTTTAAAAAAAATCAAGGGCTGTGATTGACTTCAAATTCAACAAAACCCTAAAAATAAAAGAGATGTCGTCGCCCAGATTCTAACCTCGTCTTCGTCTTCGTCTCAGGCTCTCGTCGTCATCTTCGTTTCAAACCCTCGTCGTCGTCTTCGTCTCAGGCCCTCGTCGTCGTCGTCGTTTCAGACCCTCGTCGTCGTCTTCATCTTAGGTCCTCGTCGTCGTCTTCGTCTCAGGCCCTCGTCCTCGTCTTCGTCTCAGATCCTCATCGTCGTCGCCGAACTTAGGGCCTTCGTCGTCGACAAACTTAGGAGACTAGGGTTTTCTTAGGCCGCTACACATGGTTACGGCGACTGATGAGAGAGAGAGGGTTGGTTCGTAGAGAGAGAGAGGGGGAAGGAGATGATGAGGGAAGAGGTGAGGATGGGTGGGTTTTTTATAAAGGAATTAGAAGAGGATAAGGTCGAAGGAGTTGACGGCGTGGGAAGCAGGGGTTTTTATAACGGAGGAGTTAACGGAGGAGTTGACGGCAACTGGTGATGTGGTTTTTTTGTTCGTTTATTGGCTGATTTGCACATATACCCTTAAATTATGGGTATTTGTGAAAATAATTTTTAAATCTGAGTATTTTGAATGTTATATATCTATAAATTATTTAAATAATAATAAATTATTTAACCTACGTTACGCTATGCGTTATCGCTATTGCAACCTAACCGGAGGTAAGCGTTACGCTATGCGTTAACGCTATTTTCAACATTGCAATTAGGAACCTTGTTAACCTATAGTAAAATGGTCCACACAAATAAGAAGATGATCAAAACCATGCATAGAATTCATTGTCATTATACAATACCATGTGCTTTGAAATTCTAGAGTAATAATTTAAGTCTTTAACAAACCAGTTAATTCTCAATATCCAATCTTAACATACTTAGATCATTTATCATGGTAACTCCACATTATCATAATACAATGTATATTATTTTAATATAACGCGCTATTTCAACATAACATGCTTTATTTTGACATAACTTATGTTATATCGAGATAATTTATAGTAGCGACTTAAAAATATTATCTTATTTTTCTTTGTTCAAGAGTTGATGTACTTCAATACTTACTTTCAAACTATTTGCAAGCCTTGATGGCTCTTATAGATGATGCAGGGAGGGCAAACGAGCCAAATCTTGAGTGCACCAATCATGTTAATTCTACTTGTTTATACATTCAAGAGAACTATTAAAAGTCAAGAAAAAGAATAACTACTCATGAGAGGCTAATTTCAAGGATGGTCTTAGAATAGAGTATTTGATTTGGTACCTAATAGCCAATCTGGTAAGAAGATATGTTTAGAAGTACTCTTTTTTCGTACTTCTTTATTTCATCCGGTAACATATAACAGAGGGTTTTAATGAGTTGCAAAGCGTAGAAAAGGGCAACATCGTGCATGAAGCTATGTAGGGGTTTCGGGAAGGACCTAGATCATGTTCGGTCCATCGTACACAGCCTTAACCTGCATTTTTACAAAAGGTTGCTCCCAAGACTTGAACCACTGACATTCAGGTTGCATGGCGAAAACTTTTAACTATTACGCTAGGCTCCTCTTGATTAGTTACAAAATGTACTAAAAGTAATTTTATAGATTCATTAATACTATTAAATAATATTAATATGAAAAACTTTCTATATAAAAAATCACCATCTTCCCATATTTCAAAATTAATTAGGCGATTAAAAAATTTGTTCTATCAAGTATTTCCAACTTAACACGAATAGAAAGCAAGGCCTAGCTCGTACTCGGATCATTTTATTAATCACATGAGCAGAATTTGAGCAAGCATCAAACATAATATGAATCGTTCACAAATTACTCATTCAATCTGACACTTATACGCAAAAGCTAAATGATAATTTGAAGTTATATTTTATCTAGCTTAGTCATTTGACCTTAATAGGAGTTATCACAAATCTAGACTTACCTCTACTTATTACTTTGTTGCTAATCTGAGTTTTATCAAAGTCCTCTATAATAGGATATTCGTACGCTTTTAACTAATTTTCTATGAAAGCTATATATAGCTTATATATTACTATCGAATGAACAAACAATGAGTTATTCATCACAACTCAAGGACTTATCAAAGGATTTCATCTCCTCATCATGAAATTGCTCTAGCTGATCATAACTATATCAAATTATTATGAAACTGCTCTGGTTGATCATGCTCAACTTTATCAAATTATTAGGTTAGTTAGTATACTTTCATCTTTGGGTTCTAACATCACTTGTCACATTCCAAATGAGAAATTTCTAAAATGTTGTTCATCCTAAATTGAAACCATACAACAACGTTAACCATAAAATTTTCCACAATTTCTCCTTCATAAATGTTAAATATGATGTATTAACTATAATGTATTACATCCCAGAGAATCTTCTTATGCATATTCAATGCGGAAGTATTCGCTTCACTTGGGTAATGGAGGCAGCATTGTCTTTCTTTCATCTCTCTCTAGTCTTTGTTTCACTCTCTCCCAAAATTTTTTGTCATGCTTTAACCAATTCCTTTACTTACTCTTTCTATTTTTTCCCCCCTTCGAGGAAAAAAATAATGCAAAATAATGAAACTCATGGAATGTGCAGGCAATGTATAACCCAAAGTACAACAGCCTATTCAAATTGATACATGTTATGTGTTTAAAAATTTTCTTCTAAATGTATTATGCAAAATCGTCTTAATTTTGTATGTTTACAATGGAAGCTGCTGGAAAAAAAAAAGAAAAAATGACAAGTAAAAAGACCATGTCTTCTGTAGAATAGATCAAGGTTTTAAATATCAGTTATCGAAGATTTATCAGACGGTTAAAATCCATATCAGATAGCAGATATTGGGGATATATCGAGGATAAGTAGTATTTATCAGTGACATTACCGGATGGTGATATACATAATATAATTTCTAAAATATAATCTAATCATATTTAATGAAATATAAACATATCAAAATGTAAATAATTATATTTAGGATCACTGACCAATGGTAGAAACTTGGGTCAGGTTTAAATTGCATTGAATAGGCGTCCGTTGCACAAAATCAAAACTCAAACCAAAGACCAATAATTCCGATTTTTGGGCTAGCAATATCGGCCGATAACTCACTTTATCACTGCATTATCGACGATAAACATCCAAAAACGATAACCAATTTAGAATTGAATTTATCATAGTGGAAGGGCCTCAAAACCAATAAATTACTGATAATATCGGTTTATCGACTGATATTTAAAACATTAGAATAGATGTATAGCATCCATGATCAGTTCCCATTGAGATTTCCTCTTTCTTTAGGTTTAGACCAAGGTGAAATCTACAGAATTGGTTGCAGGATTTCGAACAGAGCAACTAGTATAGTGGGTTTTCCTTAGCTATTAATTGACTTCTCTCAGATTCTTATGCAAGTATCTTTTCTCATAGATTATTAAGCAAGGAATTCACAGAAGGATCGGACATCAGAACCAGCAAAACTTGATGATATTACATTGGGATGTTGTGGAGTTCTGCTCCTCTGCGACCGTTAATACAGTTAATGTCATTTATAGTGTTGCCCCTTCCAAGTAAGCCCGGAAACTCCTACGTAGAAAAAGACTGCAAAAGTCTAAACCTTTTTATCTGACATTAATTGGAACAGCGTGCACCATGGGCTAACTTTTTTTCTCTCAATTTCATAGCATTTACGTTACTTTGTTTTAAGGTAACTCAATAGGTCAAATGCAAACTTTAGTAGGAAATCAATGTCAAAGCAGACCATATGACTATATATAATTACATAAACAATGATCAAGCCTTATGTAAACAATTTCATAGCATTTATATTACTCTGTTTTAAGGTAACATGAACAATTTCATAGCATTTATGTTACTTCGTTTTAAGGTAACTTAAACTTAATAGGTCAAATGCAAACTTTTGTAGGAAATCAATGTCAAAGCAGATCATATGATTATATATAATTACATAAACAATGATCATAGCCTTATGTAAACAATTTCACATGATTATATATAATTACATAAACAATGATCAATGTCAAAGCAGATCATATGATTATATACAACTTCTTTTCTTTCAATTTCAAAGCATTTACGTTACTTTGTTTTAAGGTAACTTAATAGGTCACATGCAGACTTTAGTAGGAAATCAATGTCAAAGCAGATCATATGATTATATATAATTACATAAACAATGATCAAGCCTTATGTAATTCAAGTCAACAAATAAATATAATAATCAATAACCTTTTTGCCAGAATTACAGGCAACTAAGCAATCTTAACAAGGTATGTGTGCCAACCCTGTCATTTGTTCGCCATTTATGTAGAACAACAAATTCATCCGTAATCTAATTCACTCATCACCACCCTCCTATTATTGGAAGCCTGAAAGATATTCATTTTCGTAGTTATAACAATTATTTCACCTTTTTATCACATGGGAAGCATCTGATTGAGGGATTAAAAGAAGTTCCAAAGTCATGTCTTGTACATATCCATTCCGACCACTAACACTAGGATGTACCCAGTACCTACAAACATACAGCAGGTTGTCATATACCTCTTTATGTTCTTCCTATGGAAGTTACCATTTTACCAACTTGCATCTAATTTCCTTTTTTTCCATATTATGGTTCCATTTTCAAAATGTTCATAATTTCTTCTTTTTTTTTTCTTTTCCACTTTATGGTTCCATTTTCAAAATGTTCATCTATGAACTTAATCCAGTTGATTTTTTTAACCAAAAAACTGAAAAGAGTAGTACAAACATAGGCATTTATTATTAACCAATATAGTTGGAGAAAAGAGAAGATGTCAAACCGTTAGCATTATATGCAACCTGAAGTAAAGGGGGCATTATATCTGGAACTTTTTCTGCGAAATTGCGAGTATAGAATGCTGCCAATGCACTGCAAAACCAGCAAACGTGCACAGACACAGAGAGTTAGTCAATCTAGAAAAACATACTTCTGTAAGTGTTCAGGTATCATGCAAATGACTTATATTGAACAATGGCTCAAAGAATATTAGCATAGTGACACAAATGTTGCAAATATGCAGTGTATCTAAGGGAGAATCCGTGAATGCTTATTAAAAAATGTTACACGTAAAGAGACAGCATTGCAAATAGAAAGATTTATAGCTTTTTTCTATTTTATTTAGACTTCAGGTTTACCCTATAATAGACAAGCTTTGTTGAGCACAATTTGGTGAAAAGTTGTGACATTGAAAGCTAGAAGCTGAGTATCCTTCTATTGGATGAAGCTACTTTGTAATATGCTACCAGAGCCAAACGTTAACCATACAAAACCTATTTTCTTGAGCCTAGAAACTCTGAGGCCACAGAGGGGACTACCAGCTCAAACACCTAATCTTCGCGCTTCACCCTGACAGTTTCTTTGCCTTCCCATCTACCCTTCTCTTCCTTTCCACAAATCAATTTTTAAAAAATATGGATATCTCACCCAGTACACCCTTCCTATCTACCCTTCTCTTCCTCACAAATTAATTTTTAAAAACTACGGATATCTCATCCCAATTCTTCCTCTCAAAGCCCAATGCCACCCCTTCCAAGTACAACTTAATTACAATCCTTCTCACAAGGCCAAATCTATTTCTCAACTTTTTTTTAAGTTCTCTTCTGTGCCTACTTTTCCCATCCATTTCTCTGTTGGTCTCTCATCTTTCTCTCATTTTTTATTTGCCAAATGTAAGTTGGTCTTGTTCATAAAGCAGATGATGAAACAGAATTTCTAACCTACATCTTCCAAAGCATATGATCACTTAGCTGGCCTTCCCCTCATCACCATCACAATTTCAAGTGGCAGGGGC